CTCAGGGTCACTGGCCGGGAACGGGCTGGGTGTTGGTCAGTGGGTGGTGAGCAATTGCATTGTGCACTGCCTGTTTATATATTTCCTTTTTTTCCTATTATCATCATTGTTCTCATTTTATTACCATTATTAAACTGTTCCTATCTCAGCCTGCAGGTCTCCCTTCACCCCTCTAATTCCCTCCCCCATTCCCAGGCAGGAGGGTGACCAGCTGCAGTCGTTGGTTGCCGACCAGGCTCAAACCACGACAGCCTTTTACTAGACAATGTTAACGCATATGTAGGTGTATAGAGGCAGAAAATACACAGGTAGCTGGGAATATTTTACGAAGAGGCAATTCAGTATCAAATAACTTCAGCTTCCTAAAATTCCTTATTTCCCACGGTGCAAACATAGAAATTGCCATACCACAGATAACTATTGGCCCATTTAGCACATAGTTTTTAGATTTGGGTGAAGCTATTCACATGTACTTTCCCACCACCTGCTGATATGCTGTATGTTATTCAAGGCACTGTCCACAGCAGGAGACTACACTTAGAGCAGTTGAACACATTGCTTATGCGTCACATCTGGACTAAACAAGGCACAGTGTGTCTTCAAGTTATCTGAAGCCAGCTTTATGGACAGTATGATCCACTTACACAAGGCCCTGACATAATAAAAATGAAATGTTCTCTATAGCAGGGGAAACTGCTATGGCTTTCTACTCTGCTCCTCAGTACCACCAACATATGTATCAATATCTACATCTAAGCTCCTCTCCTTCCAGTCAGTGGAAAGAAACAGAAGCTCAGGACTCATGTCATCTTTGAGACATCTCCTCAGGCTTTTCTCAGGGGTGAGCAGTGCCCAGAAAGAGGTTGCATTGGTTGACTTCCAGAAGTTCCTTCCAATCCAAATTTTTCTATGATTTCATCTAAAACCAAAGTGCCTATTTCTTACCACCAGGCATTTTGCTCCAGAACTGCATAGTGAACTACTTCAGCTCCATAGCCAGCACTATTGAAAGATGTGATGTCCTGATAAAAAAAGTAAGATAAAAACCTTTTTTTTTTCCTGTTAATAGGAGACAATACATCAGAAGTATCAGAAGACATTAAGTATCTCACAGCAGTCAAGATTTTAATTGCTCCACCTATTGCTGACATCACACAAAAAAATCACCTAGTTCTGCAGAAGGCTTTCTATATTGTGGCAACACTCTTTTAGACTGGACATTTAGTGGGGAGCCAGGGGAAAGAGTGGCACATCAAAGTTACATGCACATGCTGGTTATTTTGCTAAGTATTCCATACAAGACTTTCTTCAGAAGTGACTGATCATTTTTCCTGTATAGGAGCTGTAATAATTAAGCCTGCAGATTTCGACTAGAACTGCATAAGCTAAACATTGGCCTGATTTAATCTCCTGATATCTGAGAGACATGATTTATCTCACCTAAATCTTACCTATGTAAGTCTAAGTGAGTCATGTGCAGCTCCTTTAACTAACAAGAAAGAGGCACAAGGAAATAGTGGGTTATCGTACATACTTCAGTTACTTGCCTTGTTTGAAAAGGAGCGTTCTCTGAAGATTTTTGTTTCTTTCCAATTACAGTAGTCAGGGCTTCCTCAGGTAGTGAAGAAAGAAAGAAGCAGCTGTGTATCTAACATTAGTAGGAAGGAACCCCACCTGATGAGCCTGAAGGTGTCCTGCACACACTAACCGACCTAGCAGGTACAGTAACTATTAAAGTGTCTCCATTGTGAAGGCTATTACAAAAAAGACAAATTCCCTGAATATGAATTTAGCAATGTTTGACTTCTGTTTTGGTTAGTAGTTCTGCACCCAGATATGAAAAAATAAGATTACTGTTACTTAAAAAAATATATTTTTTAGTAGAGACTAGGTATCCGCATGTTTCTGCCTCAACTTAACATTGGCTCTCAAGTTGTTCCACAGAGCTTGCAGTAATGCTGCTTTGACTTTCCATGTTGCACTTTATTCCAGTAAAATGACACTTCATTTTTACTGATGTATGTTTGTAAGGATGGCAATGAAACAAACAAACAAACAAACAAACAATTTGGTGTTGGATTTGAGTTACAAATGTGCATTATGTCTCAAATGAAAATGCATTTAACCTCTGTGACTTTCTTGTCTGGAGAAGAAGTCTTGGGGGGAAACCTAATAGCAACCTTCCAATAGCTATGAGAAGATAACTGAGGAGACAGAGCCAGGCTCTTTAGCGAGATGTATGGTGAGAGAACGATAGACAGTAGTCACAAATAGAAACAGGGGAGGATCCAACTGATATATGGAAAAAAAAAAAAAAAAAAGTTTAATTATGAGAAAAACTTGGACAGGGTGCCCAGTGGGGCTGTGGAGTTTCCAGCTTTGGTGGCTTCTGAGATCCAACACTTATTTAGTGTTGGTCTTGTTTTGAACAGGAGGTTGAGCTGGAGACTTCCTGAGGTCTCCTCCAACCAGAATGACTTCATGACTCTACAGTCACAAGCCTTACATCACATTTCAAAGAATATCCTCATTTATCTGAGACCCCAACCAACTACGACGACATTTCTAGCTTTCGGTCTGCACAGAATACAATGTATGAGTGCCTTGATGACAAATAGGTCTTGAAATCTCCACACAGGTAGAGGTGTTTTCTGGCTGATCAATAGCTGAAAGCCATATATTCCCTTTCTCCGTTAGCAGAATTGCTCTTAAAAAGGATCCAAAATAAGTCACAGGAATTTATTATTATACTTACAAACATGTTATGTCTTTTTTCTGCTCAGAGGAAGAAGAAAACTATTGCTTCCACAATGAAATTGCTCTTCCTTGAAAGGGAAAATCCCGTATAAAATAAAGCCTGCTCTGGAACCAGTTAGCTTGATGATAAAAATGCCTTCACTCCATGAGTAAATGCCTAAAGGACAGCAGCAGACATGCTGCTGCTTTTATTGATTTTGGGCTTTGCTGTGCACTGTCTGGCTTGCACACAGAGGCAGCTTTTCACTTTATCTTTCCTCCGTGCTAATCTAGTGGAAGCCATTGCACAAATTAGAACTGAGCTCCTTCAGATTAAGATTCATAGTTATGGGCTTTGTCAGTGTCTTTAAGTAATTTAATAAAGCAGTGTATCTGTCAGATTGAATGGACATTGTTCAGATAAGGAAAGTTCAGCTTTTGAAGAGGCACCAGACTAATTTCTCCAGCAAAGACCACATGTTGTACCTTAAAAAATGAAGTAAAATTCGTAAATGTTTCAGGAAGTCAAAATTAGAGATGTGAGAGGGCACTACTGTGAGGGAAGTTTATTTTCTATTCCATTTCTTTAAAAAGTCCTGGTAATTGAAAGATACATTTAATTTTTTTGTTTGTTTGTTTCCTTTTTTTTTTTTTTAATCCATCTCTTCCACTTACCTGAAAGCACACAATATTTTCTTTGTATTGCTTTACTGGCAGCAGAACAGAAAGGAAGATAAATGAAGCAGCTGCCCTGGCACTCAGTATAGTTTATGGGAAGCTCTGCTACACCAAGACTGGCCCAAGGACAGTCCTACCTGGAGGCCCAGCATTTCAATAGAAGGATTTTAGCCTTTCCCACCTTCCACCCCTTTGGTAAGGAACAACAGAAAATGTTGTCAAAAGTCTATGGAAAGATGCCTGCCCACATGCACAGCTGCCTCCTGGTTAATCAAGCTTCTGGTTTCATTATGTCAACCCCGCTTGTTCAGAAAACTAAACTTACTCTAAAAAAATGTCCATATTAACACTGTTATTTTGGGCCCAGCAAAGCAAGCATTTAAGTCAAAATAGGGATTGGAAACAAAACTAACCATAGCTTGTGGGCAAATGCATTGTAAATGCATCAGTAATCATTTTAACCGCTCGGCACAATCCTCACAGCGTGTTCAGATGGCTGATGCATTTAATGCAATCAAAAGTTTTGACTGATTAGGCTGCTGATCCACAATTATCTAAAGTATTTTGTAGATTCATGAAGGGGAAAAACAAATGACACTGTGTTAGACAACTGACTCCTTGTATTCTCAGTGCCAGGTGGTGAAGTTTCCAATATTTTATACTTGCGTTTTGCTTTACGCACTCTTCTGAACAACCTTACCTGTGCCTTTCCACCCAGTGAGCCAGGAAAGCTCACGGCTCAGAGTCTGCGAAATATCAGTCCTCTACCTTGGTGCCTCTAGTTTTCCCCTTTATAAACCAGAAATAATAATGACACAATTTTTTCTGAAACATTTTGAATACAGGCTGCCTATTCTACCTTGATGCTACTGAAGTCAATGACAAAGTGCCTGTTTATTTAAGAGAGAGCAGATTTTTCACTCACTGACTTAAACAGCAGATCAGGCCCTGTTGTTAAGCCAGAATTTAGCAATTATTACTATTTTAAAAGTTCTTGGTATTTACTTCAAGCACAAAACCACTTGTCACGTTGGTCCTATTTCAGCAGTGGATAAGCACAGGCCTAACACCGAAGTTCACTGGCAGAGTCTATTATTTCAGGTGGGTCTGTTCACAAGCTGTAGGTAAGTGTGTGTTGCTACAGCATATTCATCACACTTTTATTCCAGAGTAGCTGTAATGGGCAGCAGCCAGTTATACAAAAGTTGCACACATTCAATTGTTGCTGACATCAAACCCTAAGAAAATAGCTTCTCTATAAATTTTTGACAAATATTTAATATCTTTCTAGACTATGATGCAGCTTCAGCACCAGTGCATGGCAAAACCCTTTCATCAATTAAAAGGATCTTGCATAATCACTGAATAGGTATTATTATATTCTTTTATATCCACTTTTTTAATCCACTTTTATATCCATGAATTTCTGTGTCATTTCACACAACTTCGTTTTAGACAAATGAAAGATCACTGTCCTGATTTTAACAATGTATGGCGTTTAGTGACTTATGATAAATGAAGATGAGTTTGCTTCTGTCAGGCTAGAACAAATAAAAAGAATGGCATTGCTCAGCATTTAACACCATGACAAACTCTATACCTGACAGAAACTATTTTGATAATGATTCATTTGGTTAATTTAATTATACCCTCTTCCTTTTACAGGGAGGAAATAACAGCTTTCTAGCACTCAGCAGAGAAAGAATAAATTGTGGCAATAATTCTAAGAGGAATAACAAAATCTTGGGCAGTACTTCTAAGGTCAGGTATCTACAACTGGGCAGACAAAGTCATATCAGACACCTCTGCAGAGGTGCAAGAACCTGAACTTCCTCTTTACTCCATTGGTTTTTGGTAACAAATCAGCATGCTTGAAAGTTAGGCCTTTTGTATGCAAGTATCATCTCAGGGCAGATACAAATGACAAATTTTAGAAATAGGGTCATAGCAAGCATCATCAGGCTTTTCTTCTCCTCTCACTGGAAGACAAGCTCCTGTCTGGACAATCCCGAGGTTTCCGCAGCAGCTATAGACTGCAGGTCTTCAGAATCTCGGATGACATGTTGGTTGTTCACCCTTGAGAGATGGGAGATTCTTCGGACTGGAACATGGATCTCTGGGCAGAGGGAGTCAGATGGGCCAAAAAGCCATGAAAAGCATGGAAAAATTAATAGCAAACAGTTATTTCATACTTCTTGCAACAAAAGAACTTTGAAATACTCATTCAAGGTTCAAACACAAGGCTTTAAACTGAGAGATTTGTTACTTTTTCGCACAGTACATAAATGTATTTTGAACACCATAGAAACTTAAAGTGGGATCAAAGGTGGTTGAATCAATTCAGAGAAGATTAATCCACCAGAAGATTTTAAATATAAACAACCTTCAGGCCAAGAAGTCCCACTACTACAAGAAATCTTGCTGTCTCTCATCACATTTTCCTAAGCATTAGCGACTGAATATGATGGTGGAGTTTGAATAATGGATATTTAGTCTGATCCAATTCTTTTATCCAATCTGGAGATCAAGAGAGGAAAAACAGGAAAAATTACTAAACCAATTAAACTGCTGGTAGTCTCAGACTGAAGTGCTCAATGACCTCTTCATAGCCCAGAAATTTGTCCTGATTTGCATGCTCTATTTTTTCATCTGAAATTTTGCAAAATGTTTCAGAATTAATTGCAATTACTTTAAAAGGATCGATAATGTTGTAAGATATCTCAGAACACAGAGCGTACCTAAAATAAATTCTTAACTTCTTTTTTTGGAGAGAAAGAGGTTTGGAATAGGCTTGTGTGTATGTTCAGAAAATATTAAAGATGTCCTTGAATCAGATTAAGTGCTAGCTCTTTGGATCCTAATATCTTGGCATGTTACCAGATGGCAATCTTAGTGATTGAGTCATTTTGTATAGGGAGACTTTCTTCAGATAATGCCCAAGTGAGTCATGAGATCTAATTCCGTTAAAAAGAGTCATGAGGCCCACAATCTTAATTACATTTATGCTACTAAGTGCAGGAATGCTTAATGGAAGAGGACAAGAATAACTCATTCTGAGCCCCTTCCAATGGAACCATAATAGAAGTAGCACTGTCCATGACTGGATGCATGACTTTGTCTCTGTGCAGCCTTCCAGTTATGAGTTCCATTAATGCTGGAACGGTCACGATACCATTAGTGAGATTGGAAATGTGGGGTAAGGGGTGTGGAAGATGCTAGAAGTGATGGTCTGGTGCTTTCCAGAGATTGTAACCTCTGCCTATCTCTCTCTGAGTGACATTCTCTTAGGTGAGTTCACATGACAAGATAAAACAATTTAATGACTGCTGAGTCTAGATAAACATAGGCTCAGGCACCACTTACATTATTCATACAGGCAGAATCCACATTTTCCTGTACTAATCAAAGCGTGGGTTGGTTTTCTGTGTCAGATGGATGCAACAGAGATGGGGTTTTACTCACACAACGTACACAAGAAAATAATTGTGTTCTACACCCTGTTAAAATGCAATTATTTAGAAGACCTGCCTCATATTTTCACAGTTCCTCAAAGACTTTGTCTAAACAGGTATTCAAAAATTGATATTTTTTGAAGTCAAAATAAAACTACATTTTCAAAGACTTTTGCTGGCTTTTCTTCTACAGCCCAAAGAGGAGATGAATTAATCTGCGCATTTTTTAATCATCAAAACTGTATTCTGGAGTTCTTGAGTTCGATACATGACAGGCAAATTTCATTCTGCACCTCTTCCCTTTTGTTTTCATTCACAAACACCCCGAAGAAACCATAAAAAATGCCACCAACACAGTATACACCGCACGTGGGCAAAGCCCATCCCTTTGCTGGGATGACACATACAGAGCAGCAAGCCAGCGCGCTGGGCACACGTGGCAGGAGCTCTGCTCCGTCTGCACCAGCCAAGCATCACGGCGCAGCACCGGCGTTGTAGAGAGGGTCCCGAGGAGCCCCTGCTCGCACCTTGTGAGTGCCAGGGGGTTGCTTTGGGCTGCTGCAGCTCCAGGACTGGAAAGCCCATGAGCGGCCGGAGCTCACGGGGTGCGCTCCTGGAGCGTGGCTTTCGGGGGCATGCCAGCAAAATGACTGCAGCACTAGCAGTTCCCTTGGAGAGTAATGACATGAGGGACAAAGGTTCAGTTAGCACTTCCATTAGTCATGCAGTGAATATTTTAATCTCTAAACTCCCCAACTACCGTGTTTAACAATTTCTTTATCGCTTGTTTCTGCAACTAATTAAAAAATAGTCATCATTAAAATTGGATAAAACATATTTCATCTACTGCTTCGCACCTTGTCTTGACTGAAAAGGAGGCTTAATGCCTTGACAGAACTAAATTGGTTGCAAGTTCCAGACTGCTGAAGCAAGCTTCCTATAACAAGATGATCTGTCTTCAAGTCATTTTTGTCTTGACAGCTGCAGACAATGATTTCATCAAGTCTAGCATAAAAATGCCATATTCTATTTCCAAACGAATCCTAATCTTGTAATCCAGCGGAAAAAATGAAGGGTGAAAAGGTAACACTTCAAGCGGTGAATTTACAAAGGCTTCGGCATAGAGAGTCCAGTTTGTTTCAAATCAATTAACTTGAAAAAATCCACAACAAATAATGAACTATTGTTACTTAAAAGTTATTGATGTCATCTTAAAAGTTATCTTTAGCAACTAATTATTTAGCAAAATTTTAGTTTTACATACTAGTCTGGAAAGTTTGCACAGATCCATATTTTATTTTCATTGTAGCTTCTGATATTGAGAAGAAAATCGCACTGAGCCACAGACATCTCAAGTTGAGACTATGAACAGAGAGGGGCAGAAGGAATGACAATCTTCAACCTGTTTGGTGTCTTATGTGCCTAAAAGATATCTCTTGCGAGAGTCATGCAGGATGCTTTGTCCACCTTGCCAGAGACAGCCTGCAACAGAGCCAGGTATGGAGCCTGTTTCGCTCAGGCTCACTCCAGTATTTTAATAGCATACATCTGATCCAGTTTTTGCACAATCACAATTCACTACTCCTGAAAAAAACAACAGCATATAGGTACAAAGATCAGACCAAATCACTGGTTATACTGATATCAAGAGAGATGTCTGCCTGTGTTCCAGCAATGTGTGATAACCTCCTCTTCACTTGTTATCCAAAAGCTTGTTTCCTGCATGCTTATAGAAATAAGAGCAACATAAAAGCAAACAGTAATTCAAACTACTGGTATAAAGAGCTAGCTCTATTTATTGATATTTGATCACTTGATACTTATTTGTACAGATGACTGTAACCTAACAAGGATAAAAATAAACAAAAATATATTTGCCTAAGGATGCCTAAATGAATGTTACCTCATACACTTAATTACAGTTGTTTGAAAAAAATACTTACTGAAAGACTTAAGAATACTTCCACACTATTCTATTTCTCAAATAGCTGGACTAGATGGTCAGTTCTGTCTTTTCAGAAAGATATTTTACTGGCACAGAGAGGTCAGAAGGCCAGATCATGAATCCTCTTTTACACAAGAAAATGATAGTAAATACAACCCAAACCCCTTAAGAACAGTACACCAATTCTACCCTCACTTGGATTATCCACTGTGCTCCTGCCAAAATGGTGAGCTCTGTTGCAGTCTTCTACTATGACCTTTGCAGGACATCAGGGCAGCAAGATACCTGTCACAAAGTGCTTAAAAAGCACAGTGGAGGCAGCAGTTGAAAATCTGGGTAAGGACCCTACAGAAATATAATACTAAAGATCCGGTGTTATTTTGTTCTTTCCTCCAACACAGTACTCACTGAACAATAAATCATCCTAATGAATTCATCAGATAAATGGTCATTAGTTAATCAAAGTACAACCAATCCTTATGGCAGTTCACTGGAAAAAAAAAAAAAAAAAAAAAGTAACAAGAATGCAAAGGGCTTAAAGATTAATAACAATTAAAAATTGAATTAAAAGGCTTGTAAGAGAAATCTCTCTAAGCAATCTTCATTTTGGTCTGCTCCAGCAAATTCATTTTTAAAAACTAGCTATTAAAATAAAAACACCCTGTGAAATATTTTCATTGTCTCCTCACAGCCCCTTTATGAATTTGTGCCAGCAGAGCTATTAGCAGTGATTGAAGGTGAGACAGCCAAGATGAAATTCTCCAGAGAACAAGACAAGAGACACCTTTCTGCCCTCAACCCATCAAATATAATGAATGATAGGCACAGTGCATGACAGGGACTGAAGTAGAAGACTGTGACAAAGACAGGCTCAGGAGTGCTTCAGAATAATTCATTCAGTTGCATTTGGCAGCAGCAGGTCATAATATTTTCTGTGTAGCTACGCTGTCAGTGCAAGAAAATAAAATACAGAACAGCATTTGCATGCTGATTCCATTTCCATCATAAAGAAAGGAATAGTGAGTTAATCAAATGTTTAAGTTAAATTCTGCCTCCTGCTTCCCACTGCCCGTAAGCACACAGAGCAGTATGAGCCGGATGCATGAGGCTGAACAGGGATCAAGGCCTAATTAGCAGTGTATTGATTACAGCTACTTCTTCTCCTCTCTCCCTCACACGATGGTCCATACTGAAAAAATCCAAGGCTTTATTAATCGGCTGTGCTTGGAGTCTTTAATTGCCTCCCTGCTGAAAGAAGAGTTGGAAACGTGGCACCACCCTTCAGGAGAGGAAAGGGAGCAGCGAGAAACTCAGAGAGGGGCCAAGTCCTGAGGTGGAAATCATGCTCCCAGCAGCAACATTGCAAGCCCAGCTGCCATCCCACGGCTGGCACCTCGCCTTAAAGACAGTGACTTCTCCATCTGTGCTTTTACCTGCTGGAATCAACGCCCCCAGGAGCCCAACGCCTCCGTGTCCCCATGGGCCCCCAGGCACAGCGGGGCAGGGCTCCATTGAAGCAGCACGTAGCCCCCGCCTGAATTCAAGACACCCACACGATGCGGTTGGCAGAGGACTTCTGCAAGGTTCTACCACATGAGGTGGTGGGGGCAGACAGCATCGGCATGTTCAAAATACATTAGACCCAGAAGTGGACCCTGAAGGCAGGGCTAGGCTCTAACACCCCTACGACGGCTGCCCTGGATGGCCGGGAGCCTGAGG